GTCGTGATGGCAATCTAAAACTTGGGACATTATGTCATGGTGCATCACATTATAGTAAGGACGGCCACCCAGTAAGGAAAATTCTTTTCAAACCAGATCTAGCACGAAGAATCGTAGTTGCCGTTTTCTGTGTTCTGGTTTAGAAATTAATTTCTCTAATGACATAAATCGTAGATGTCGTTTGGTGTGTTCTGGTTCAGAAATTCTTCGACTAAGACTACATGTTATTTCTCTATCTTTGTACTCTCACTTGCACAAGGAGAAGATTTATCTCTGTTAATTTTTTAAGAAATCACATTAATTAATGTATTCATTAAGCAAATAATTATTATAAAAAAAGTGACTAAGAATTATGTGATGTAGTGTAAGAAACATACATATACACGTTTGAACTCGCAGTTCAAACCTTGTAGATGCTCACCATCATGACTATCAATATTGACGTCTTTGAAATACAATTTAGAATAACCTATTTGAAGATTGAAATTGGGTTTTCTATACATTACTTTTTTTGGCCAATCTTCAAGGGTTTTGTGAAACTTTTGCTCGCTCAAGTTGTCAAAAGGAACACTATAAATAGGTAACTATTTCCTTCTTTGGAATCTCATTCTTTTGTCTTCTCTTTATTCTTTTTCTCTCTGTGTGGGTGTATGTGTGTATGTGTTAAGACTACTTTACTATTCCATCAACATTATCAAGGCACCTTGGAGGTTAATATTTGTCTCTCCTGCTCCTCTCACCGATGATTTCACATCTCAAGAACAAGAAGGGAGATTCTTTTAAGACTTCACAACTAGAATTGTCTTGGGAATTCATACTTTGGATGCTAGAATCTTTAAAGAATGTTCAAGATTTTTGATTATTTGAATTTAACGACTCATAGGGAATTACAATCCTGGTGGAGACTCCAAACCAGCTTACCCAACATAGAAGTATTAGCTTCTTTTGCTTTTTGTATCCTAAGACCACCCATTTTTTGGGTTTAGTGATTTTATTTCAGCCGACAAGATGCACACCTGAGTTAGAATTACCTTTCCATAAAAAATTCCTACTCATTCTATCAATAAACTCACACGTTGACTAAGGTAGCCAAGCCACTTGCATATGATAATTTGGGATGGAGTTCAGGATAGTCCTTATCATAGTCAAACGACCAACCTTGTTTAATAATTTATGTTGCCAAGATGCTAACCTCTGGCTTATTTTATCCTCTATGAACTCAAAGTCCTTATGCTGAAGACGACCATGCAACATAGGGGGAAACCTAAGTACTTCTCTATAGTAAGATTTCTCTTGATACTTGTATTGGAGATAATTAAATCCTTTTTACTCCTCTTAGTGGTAGCAGAGAAGAGCACCTTTGATTTAGCAATATTCACTTTAAAGCTAGAAAACATGGCAAAACAATTCAAGATATCAGAAATGATCCATGTCTGGGAGTTAGAAACCTTTGTAAAAAGAAGAAAATCATCAACAAAAAAATAAATTCAATAGAGGGGATCCATTATGAGATAACCTGACAGGTTTCCAATGGCCTTCATCGATTGCTCTGATGATTTTTTACGGCAAGAATTCCATGCAGATAACGAAGAAATAGGGTGAAAAGGGATCACCTTAACATAAACCTTCAGTTGGAACAAATTTTGGTAGTCATCTCCTATTCTAAAGAATAGACATAGAGGAGCTAGTTACAATGTGCATGATCAACTTTATAATAATGGGAGGAGACATGTGTCGCTTTAAACTAAATTCCAAGAAATTCCAACTAAGATGATCATAGGCCTTTGCAAGCTCTATCTTGAACACCATGTCACCTTTTTTTATTTTTAGATTTACGCATAGAATGAATTGCTTCTTGGATGATAATGACATTATCAATTGTCACTTTATCCGGCAAAAAACTACTTCAGAAGGATCCAACTATCTGATTTAGATAAAGACGTAATATATTAACCATAATCTTCATAATAAGCTTGTAATAGTATTGCATAAGCTAATAGACCTGAATTCTTTTAAATTGTAGGGGAATTTCATCTTAGAAATTAATGCGATAAGAGTCTCAAAAAGAGATGAGTAAAAACTACCTATCACAAAAGCATATGATATAAGTTGGACAACGTCATCTCCAACTATAAGCCAAAATTGTATAAAGAAAATACCTTGGAATCCATCAGGGGCAAGCACCTTGAACGGCTGCATTTGATTTAACACATAAGCAACTTCCTCCTTCGTCACATGTTGAGTCAAAGAGTGTTGGGCTTCTTCAGTAAGGATTGAGACCATAGTTGAGTCACTCATACTAGTGGAGACTGTAGGAAATATAGTGCATAAAAGACCTTTATAAAAGGGAATTCTTCGCCCACCCTATGAGGTAGTAAAAGAATCCTATGGAATACCCCTCAATTTCTAAAAATGCATCTCCAGACGCACCTTATACACATATAATTCATTCATTTTTGAACACCCTAATTTTACAATTAAATTTAGTACAAAAATGCCTTATTGAAATGCCTACGGAAATATATTTCCTGAACCTACTGAATAGTTGTTTTCAAGCACCACTCTCCATATACATCTGGCAATAATTATCTTAATTTTTTTGCATCCTATGTATACATGACCAAGTAGCACATTCTACATCAACTTATATTATTATTCTTTTTTACAATTTCTGGACTTTATCTGAATTTTTTATTAGTCAAATACTATCACTATATATCTAATTTTCTTTAAATGAAGAATTGATAGTTATTTTGTCCTCTATCATATAGGTGGATTTTGAAAAATCTCCTTGTAAAAAATAAGTTTTAAAAATTCTCTTATCATATAAAGATTCCTCCGTTTTGTCCTCTCAAGAAGTTTACTCATCAATAATCTATTAAATTTCATATAATTTGCTCCCTATTTTTAAGAATTTATACATGTTTTATTCTTGCCAAATTGGTGATTTTTTGAAAAACCTCTTGTTAAATTGGTGATTTTTGAAAAATCCCCTTGTCATGTTATTGTTTTTTATGCTTAAATTTTTTGAAGAAACAAACTAGAGGAATCTTCCTATGGCATGGAGATTTTTGAAATTTTTTTTACAAAAGATTTTTCAAATCTCACATATATGACAAGAGGCAAAATAACTATTAAGTTTTAAATGAATTATAAATAAAACATGTTAATCTCACATATACGACAAGAGTCAAAATAACTATTAAATCTTAAATGAATTATAAATAAAACATGTTCTAGCATGAGACATGCTGATACATCAATAAGATAACACAGTAAATAGCAGTAAGTTAGGTATCATCCTCACCAACAAAACAAACCAACCAGGGTGGAGTGCAATAATACATATTTGTTATTGTATTTTAGTAGGGTCTAGAAATGTATTTTTAGAGATATTTTAAAAATACATTTGTGAAATAAATTTGGTCAAAATATTAAATCGTATCTCAAAAACACATGAATTGTGTGTTTGAAATGCATACGGAAATGCATTTTAAGAAATTCTCTTACAAAAAAACCCGTGCTTCTTTTATGAGAATAGTATTATTATTGTATCAAACACCATTGAAAAGATGAATGTCTATTAATTAATAAATAATATTTTTTAATATATTATAGTTAATAAGGAATATTTTTAATAATTAAAATTAAGATATTTAAAAATAAAAAAGAAAATGAGTTATTTAAATAAAAATTTAAGAAATTTTGTTGTGATAAAACTATTTGTGCAACTCAGTGATATAAAACTATTCGATAAGTGTCGATGATATAGAATATTGAAGGTGAATCTTAGACTCTTGTTCATTTTCATGAAATTATTATAGCACATGTGAACTGGAAAACTTTATGAATGTTGTTCTGTACATAAAAGAAAAACAACAATTAACTTAAATAAAACCAAGATAGTTTTAGAGAACTGAGAAAATTGTAAGTAAAATAGTAAAACATTCAAAAATGAAAATGTCACAGAATTTTCATATCCCCTGTAAGAGTGAAAGAGAATTTTCATATACATGCCAAAGAGAATCTTATTTCATATTCCATACTGTTAGAAGCCACTCATATTTATTTGGCGTGTTTATTATAACAAACTGAGACACATGATAAACAACCTGTAACTACCACAGTTAAGCTTATTACAAGAGATGAATCATAGTTAACAATAATTTCCTCTATCACAACGAGATCTCAAAATCGTACCATGCTTATTGCTCATGTCCAATTATTAGGGAAAATATGTATACATTAATAGAAGAAAATCAAACAAAAAACCGGAAAAGGTAAAGATTACCGACGACAGAAAAGAGGAGAGAGGAGGGGTGATGTGCAGATTTAAAAACAAGGATTCACCCATCTCTCATGCTTCCTAATCTCAATCATGTAGTATAACTATGTGAGTGAGAAACTTGCAAGTTTGCTCCTAACATCAGTGGGAGTTTTTTGAGCATAGTGTGGAAGAACCAGAGAAATTGAATGGAAGGATTTCAGCAATACGTGACATATAGGATAGCAAATCATAATTGGGAAGATTTTATGATGCAAATAGAGACAGTAGCAATGCAGAACAATCTTTATACGGAAATGGTTATGTAATGTTAATATTAAACTCCTCAATCTTCTGATTTTCAACGTAGCTGAAGTTAATTGTACAAATTTAGAGAAATGTGGGCCTATACATCCCAATCCAAAATACTACACATTGCATGACACAAGCAAAGCAACAAATTAACCACCTTATACTACAGTATCTGACCTGCTTGCTCTTGCAGATAGATTTACAACAATTTCTGATTATGCCCTTGGCGTTTTACCCTCTATAGTCGTGTCTTTCTGTGTCGTGTATCCAAAAGTCAGGAAATCTACCAATGTTATACAACCTAACAAAATATCAGTCATCCAAGAAATGCACAAAATGTGAAATAGTTGCGTATTAACAGTTCACGAAGCTAAAACGATAACCCGGAGGCTCACAAACCCTTCAAAAAACGCCATGCCATCTGCTACTCAAACTGGTTTTCGGTCAAATTATCTTCGAAATTCAGAGAATTGGCAGCAGTTAAAAGCATGTCCATTCCTCCAACACTTTCCAATTCTTCTACACATTTATTGTTGCAACTGTTTTCATTATTAGCTTTTGGCTTTGAAACACTGTCATCGGTTCTCAGCTTGCTATTCTCATACGCCTTTTTTGCCTGGGATATTGCCTTGATTCCAGCATCACATTTTTTGCAAAACCATTTCCCTTTAGGAATAGAAGCTAGAGGAGGTTTTATGCAATAGATGTGATACGCGTGATCACAGCCATCACAGAGGACAATTTGATTGTCGTTTATATTGATGAGGCAAACTTGGCATAAACAAGAAGGGCAGTACCACCAACGACCATATGAATTTAATTGCTTGCTTGTCAAACACCTTACATGGTAGTATTTACTTGGGCAAAAAGAGTGACGACATATTCTAAAATCTTCACCATCAACTAGGACTTCATTTCCACACACTTTGCAATCCAGTGTTTTTTCCTCATCTTTAGATACTTGAACCCTATAGGTGCAATTTGAATTCTCTTGAAATTCATTAAGTGTTTCCTCATTTGTAGTGAGGCTTTCATCACCAATTATTTTCTTTGGAGTTATTACATCATTCAATCTCGTACATACTACACAATTCTGATGCGGAGATCCAAAGCCACTAGTGGTGCAATTAGCACAATACCAGCTTTTGTGAGGTATTTCTTTCACTGCGGGCTCAATACAGGACAAATGGTAAACCTGCTCACATGAATCACACACCAAACAGTCTGTACCATCTGCCCTTTCTCCACAACGACTGCAACGGCAAATTTTATAGGTAGTGCATTCTTCTGTCTGCTCCGGGTTCATGTATGAGTCCGATTCCTGGCAAAAAAGTGCTGATTAGAAAAACAAAACCAAAACAATTTTCATTACCATTATAAGTAAATATCTCAAGCAAAGCCTTAATCATATCAAATGAAGAGCATTTGGTACTCATAAATGGACAGGCATTTCCCAGTGCAACAGATTATTTGTATCCTGAACACAAGACTGTCATACACATCTAATTAATTAAACTTGTTATTAAACTCGGCTGTCCAGGCCATTATCTCGGCACGGAACAGCAAAACCAAGAAAACTGCGTCAGACCGTGCCGTTCTATCATGGATGGGTGACTTGGCCGGTACAACCACAATAATAGGATTAGATTCGAAAAAACGCCACTTTGACACTCTGACACAGCCGCATGTGATGTTACCCTTAAATTTTTAAGGATAGAAAGATTATTTCACTTTTATTTCTAAATATGAATACTTCATAAATTTTGATAAATTTATTTGTTTTTAAAAATTATGTTTTCATTAGTATTAACTGTATTAGTGTCTGCGCCACTAAAATATCAGTCATTCCACTCCCCGCTCCCGTACCATTCCATTTTATGAGATGGCTGTACCGCGTTGCTATCCGAGATTGATAACATAGAATTAAACAAGTCCACATCCTGTTTTATTCAAGCAAATCCTTTAGGCTTGGGAACTGGTAACCTAAATCTTCAAGTCATTTTATGTCGACTAAAGAAAAGGATGAGATAAAAAAAATTATTAAAAAAAAGATACTTCCCATTTTATTCAAGCAAGTCCTTTAGGCTTGGGAATTGGTCTCAAATGTTGTGTTTTTGGTAATAACTGACTAATAATAATTAGTCTCTGTCTCTGCCATAATTAATGGCATGTCACAGCTTTCATTGTTTTTTCTTCATAATTCTTTCCTAAATTGATTATAGATAGCTATCTCTATTTAATTAGCAGCCATGAAAATGAAATCATTTTTACAGTGTTATTTCATATTTTCTCAATATATCGTAGGACACAGATGTATCTCAAGTACATACAGCTACACAACCTGTATCTCACAATAAATGAACCAAAACAACAGTGTCTAACAGCAATCTAAGAAAAAATAGCTAAATTTTAAACATATCTTTTAGCATACATTTATTAGCAAATTTGACTTTTTTGGTACATTTGACAATTATCGTATCTAGTCCACATATGGACTAGATACATTAATTCTCAAATGTAAAAAAAAAAGTCAAATTTGCTTATAATAGTGACCAGAGGATGTATCTAATATCTGGTAGGAACAGCTCGTGAAGTATCAAAAACGTAATTTTAAAACACTTACCACTTGTTTTTCATCTTTAAATGTGCTCTGCGCTGAAACTCCAACCTGTAGATATGGGAAATTGTTGTTTACACAAGGAAAACAAATAGGAGCAGAGAACAACCTGTGAAACTTATGTGATTTGACAGAATTTGATTACCAGCTGAGAGTAGGAAGTTGTTGACATGATGGAGAGGCTTTTAGAAAGAGCAGAGATCTCATTACAAACATCTTGAAGCTTTCTCCAGACCTAGATTACAAATCAGGAATAGCCGCACAAATAAGAACCAGCAACTAACATGGAACATGCTATGAAGTACCCTCAAACAAACTAAAATAACCTAGTGGATCATATTATGATTTCTCCTAGCAGTAATACACGATAAATCTACCACTTCAAATCAACATTTTTGTATAAATAAAATTAAACATTAAGAGATAGTCAAAAGAAACAAATATGTTATACCCATATATACTTAGAGTCTTATTCATGATACTAACTCAGCTTTTCCAGCAAGTTAACAACTGACAGTAACTAACTTCTGACAGTTATCAACAGTTACGCAAGAGTAACTAACAGAATATATATATATATATATATATATATATATATATATATATATATATATATATATATATATATATATATATATATATATATATTCTCTAACATCTGACAGATGCAACTACTAGAAGTCTAAGACTATTCTAGGATAGTTGCAATTTGCAAGTATATACTAAATAGAACATAAATAGAATAGAACACAAATGTAATCAACAAAACACAACATTATGAGGCGCATACCAAAGTTTTCTCTTCTCAAGTGAAGAGAAAGTCTGAATTCAAATGAGGTGATGCGATTTAATTCTTCACAACTTCACCCATTTATTTTATCAAGGGACAAGTGTGGAGAAAATATCATGTTGACTATTCATTTTCTTAACTCTTAATTTTTTGTTCAACCAAACTAAGGGAATAAACATTTTACTTTTCTTTACCTACACTTTCTCTCCATCCAAGCAATATAGAAATTCACTAGTTTCATTCTCCTCTTTTCTTCATTTTCTTTCTATCTTGTTTCTATCCTAATTTTTCTACACAGTCAAACAGAGTGTAACTATTATTAGAAAAGGAAAACGGGAAAGCGAGGATTTGCTACATGAATGTGCGAATTTTAGAAGAGGCACACACAGTAGTGAGTGTTAGGCAGTGAAGTGCCAACAATAGCCATAAAATAAGTGTGATGGAGAAAAATGTCAGGGAGGATGTGCAGATATACAAGAAAATATAACATCAAGAGTGAATGTTTTTGGCAGAAAGTCGTCGCCTATCAATAAAGTGAAGGGAACTAACCTAAGGTAAAAGATCAATAAAAATTCTAGCAAGAAAAATGAAACAGATTGTCAAGATCAAGAGAGTAAGTGTACACAGTCTACACAGATACTGCTATGAAATCACTCTGAAACAACCCCATGCAGTTCGTGAGGCATGTTTCTCTCTCACCATTACCCTTATTCGCTTCTTTCCTTCATCTATCTGACCTCTATTCCCGCTTATATTCATTCCCCTTAGGCCTAAATTCCTAGCAGACCCCTGTTTATTTCAAGTTTAATCATAATTCATTTGCAACACGTGCAGGTGGTTATCCCCTGTCAATTCCTCTTGCTGGTCATGTGAGGTTTGATCCCCTACTTACACTTCAGGATGTCACCAACTATCACAAAACTGAATTATCAATACTACTTATCACACAGAAAACAGTTGACACAATTAATCTGAGAATCTAGATTTGTACATGCTTCATATTTTTACAAGAACAGGACAGATAAAATTTAAAAATATCAACTTCAAATAGCATAAACAGAGGAGACGAAGCATATTGTTCATGAAAAGCCAGCAGAGTGCAAAGTGCAAAATGCAAACTATAAAACAGGATAAGATGGCACTTTTACTATCAAACTCCTACAAACACACACCACGGTGAATTCAAATCTCTCAATAAACGGTTTAAATTCAAATCTATCAGTAATTTGGACAACAACACCAAAACAAAGCCAGATAAAACAAGGTAATCAAGACAGCACAAGAAAGTTACAAGAAAGGGCTATAAAGTGCAACTGCAGACCATCAAACACATTGATACAATTCAACTCATTCTTCCAATTATGCACATGTATTGTATCTGCACGAAAGCCCGCCATCTGCCACCTCTTTCACACTATATTTTTATCATGGATAGTCCCTTTGTTAATTATATAAACCAAAAAACCTGGCACAGCAAACTTTTAAAAGTGAAGTATTTATATTGCCATGTGAATAATTTTTTTGTCTTGTTGCTAGTAGAAAGAACCCTTATTTACTGTCTAAAGAAAGGATCTCTTCAAAGTGAAGAAGTTAGAAGTAGAAACTAAAAATTTGATGCAGAAAGCACTAATGATTGAATATACATTAATTATAATATCTAGAATTACAACAAGATTATGGATTGTAGATGATAAAGAAAGCATAAACATCAACCATAAGACTTAAGACCCAACATCATGGTCTTATGTAAACCAGACATTCAGTCATCTGTGATTTTTAACTTGCATCAAGCACCATATAGGAATAAATAAATTGTCTAGATATAAAGAGATGGCTAAAAAATACCTGTTGAAAATCTGACAAGAAAAGTACAGGTGATTGTTCATAAGTTTTCTGCTTCATCCTTGAGTTCATGACACTAAAATCAAATACACTTTCAAGCTTTATTCCTTGGAAATTTTCAAGTAAAGTCTTGCGTAATGAATTGAATTTTTCTGAGGTTAATATATCGTGGAGCACGCGCTGACACTTCTCAGTCACACCATGCGGTTCACTAGAAGATCCATTTTGCATGGCACATGCATGCCCATTAGCTTCAGTCTGTGGTCTATGAGATAAGTGGTCAAATTGTGAAGAGAATGCATGTCCATCTTTGTCAGTTGTAGAAGTTCCCTGCTGTCAAAATAAGTTGGAACATAAAATTAAATGAATCCAGAGTGCTTATAGGATAAGTCACGAAAGTGCACAACGGGTAGTTCTAGCAGAAGAACCAACCATAAAAGTGGCGGCACAACTTCTTTGAGGATGGTGAATTAGTGCTTGCCCTATGCCCCCCTCTATGCCACCATCGACATTGCCTAATGACTCATATAAATGCTTTAGTACATCATTCCCCCAATGTCTATGGGCACAATCATCTGCAGTATTGCCTAAAGTTGCATCAAGGGGTTCCTTCACAGACTGCAATTAAAAAATAAGAAACAAATACAGATCTTAAGAAATAATTAAGATAATGTATTGTTCTTCAAGGCATCTATCTGTCAGGGACTGGATCATATTATCTTGTGATGTATACACAAACGTTGAACCCCATCAGCAGGACTTTGATGAGATAAAATAAATTAATATTGTAATATAATGAAAAGGAAGAAAAATGTAATCTCCCATTCTCCCGCCATAGTTTTAGCATCTCAACTTTCAAATTAAACATCCTATGCATATATATCTAACCTGAATATTATCCTATTATCAATAAATACATAGAAAATTGTGGTGTTTCTTATATACTAACACAAACAAATTAGCCCCTCATACAACCAAATTTCTGCATATTGTTATTCGAATATCGATTTGTCCAGGTAGATTGCATTCCTATCATTTTAAATTTGCAGGACATAGGTTGCAACTAGCCGCTATTTAAGCAGAAAAATTTAATCTCCCATTCTCCCGTCGTAGTTTTAGCATCTCAACTTTTAAATTAATCATCCTATGCATATCAATATGAATTTATATTTAACCTGAATATTATCCTATTATCAATAAATACATAGAAAATTGATGTGTTTCTTATATAATAATACAAAAAAATTAGCTCCTCATACAACCAAATTTCTGCATATTGTTATTTGAATATCAATTTGTCCAGGTAAATTGCATTCCCACCATTCTAAATTTGCAGGACATAGGTTGCAAGAATATCGTTTCATTTCCCTAGCACCTGAAGTCTAGGGTACTTTGGTCTAGATTTTGCAAGTTAACTACAGTGGAGTAGGCGCATGACCATCTACTTGTAAAAAAACAGTAAATATAACATAAAAGACTGATGAACCTAATACTTGCAAAAAACAGTAAACATAACACAAAAGACTGACGAACCTAGAAACTAAGTGCATTGAAAAACAAATTGACACATAAATCACATTTAATTCTAGCTAAACATTACCACTTTTCTGGTTGATATTCCTCTTTTCAATCATTCGTTTTAGAACAGACATTGGACACATAGGCACATTGTACACATAATGGAAAACAAAGGAGGAGGACAAACCTGGTCTGCTATATGACTTGCAGTTTCCACACATTTTCTCCAATCCTCCTGAGCTTTGCCTTTTGAGCTTGACTTATCATATTTTCGCCTCTTGTAAGTTTGAAGACATGTAAGCCCACCAGAGCCCCCGTCACCAGAATCAAACCCATCAGCAATTGGCACCCCATTGCTAATAGGTTCACATTTCAAAACCCTGCCCTCTTTAATAACACCATTTTCATTCACCCCACTATTCGATACTTCACTTTTCAAAACTCCGCCCTCTTCAATAACACCATTTCCATTCACCCCACTATTCGATACTTCACTTTTCAAATCCCCAGCCACGTCACTAATACCATTTCCATTGGCAAATACCACCCCTTCATTCAAGGCTTCACTTTTTGAGTGTCGATCCTCTTCAAATACACCATTTCCATTTACCCCATTACTCGACATTTCACTTTCCAAAACTCCAGCCACATCAATAACACCATTTCCGTTGGCAAATACTACCCCATTGTTCATTGCTTCACTTTTTGAGTGTCGATTCTCTTCAAATACACCATTTCCATTAAACCCATTATCCAACACTTCACTTTTCAAAACCCCAGCCACATCAGTAATTCCATTTCCATAGCCAAATACCATCCCTTTGTTCATGGCTTCACTTTTCGATTGCCGATCCTCTTCAAATACACCATTTCCATTTACCCCATTATTCAATACTTCATTTTTCAAAACCCCAGCCACATCACCAACACCATTTCCAACGGCAAATACCACCCCATCATTCATGTGTCGAGCTTCCTCAGCAACACCATTCCCATTGGAAATCGGCACCTCATCAGAAAAGGCTTTGCGTTTCAAACACCGAATTCCTTCAGCACATTTAGTGTTACCAGGACTGCTCACTCCTTCCTCAGCTCCCATATCAAAATAACACCCATCATTCACAGCTTGACTACTCAAATGTCGAGCCTCTTCAGTAACAACATTCCCATTGGAAATTGGCACCTCATCAGAAACGGCTCTGAGTTTCAAACCCTGAACTCCTTCAGTACATTCAGTGTCATGAGGATTTCTCATTCCTTCCTCAGTATTCATATCAAAATAAAAGCGACCACAAAACCCTATTTTGCAACAGAACAAAATTAGGGTTTCAGATTGAAGCTACACAACCTTCCAAGATCCAAGATTTTACCCAGATTTACTTCCACAATAACTTTAAACAGTGAACACCATTCAAAAAGGCAATAGAAGTTAAAACATACCCCTCTTTTACTCCTGAATAACCCAAAAAAAAAAATATATCAGTGAAAATTGAAAACGAAAGCAAGAATGTGTACGCGCAAACAGCAATCAGAGAGAGAGAAAAAACCGGCGTGAAAAGCAGGTAGCAAACAAACAACATGCCAACCGCACAAAATTGAAGCTTTAAAATAAAAATGAAGAAATTCTAAATTAAAAATAAAAGTCGCCGGAGCAAAGAGAGTGAGGGTTGCGTTTAGCTCCGGCGATTTTAAAATGGAAATGCGAAGAGAAATGCATATAAAAGTGGTGAGAAGTGAAAAGGTGTATGTGAAAAACGGTGGACTTGCCTGAGTTCAGTGGCGCTGCTACGCCGAACGCCGCTTTGCTCAGCTGTTTCGCTTACCCGAGTTGTTTTGCAACCCGACGCCGACGCTTCAGTGGCTACTTCAACTTATTTTCAACTTACATTTTCCGCGTTGTTGACGGTTATTATCTTCTCCATTTTTTACATTGTAAAAAAGAAAACAAATTTCTTAATCAAAAATTAAACTTTTATACATAAATATATTATTGGTGAAATTTAGAATTTGTGAAAGAGGACTAAAGTCAACATGATATCAATACTTTCATGCCAAATTAATCAATCATAATAAATCTACTAAAGCTCGACACTCACATGAATAAGATGAATCGATCAATAAAAATAGAATTAGTAGATTTGTCTAATCACATTATATTCTTTCTATACACGTTGGTAGTGAAAAATATATTTGTGTGGTGTATTGAAACACTAATTCGACATAGTGTCGATTAAAAAAGATAATTCTAATAATATATTACATGATTAGTTGAAAATGATTTGGCTAGATATTTGACACGATCGTAATTTGACATTAAAGTAACAATTACCTTTTTTCTATAAATAATAATTTCAAAAGAGAATAAATGATTGAATACTTCTTTTTTGAAGTTTACTCTTAAATAGAAACATATTCAAATTTGTCAGAATATTAAATATATTTTCCACCATCTTTATTTATTTGTTTTTAATTCTTGTATTTGAAATTCAAATTATTTTAAATAATTATTTAACTTAAATAATTATCTAACTTTTACATCTTTCAATCATTTATGTTTTTGTCTTATAGACGAAATGACAATAATCATAATAAACTCATGTACACAATTATGGGATTTCAAAATCGAACTTAAGGAAGAGTAGTCATCCTAATAAGGTTAGCATTTATAGGTTGAATTAGCCTTTAAAGACTATTTAATTGATTTCTAATACCCTATAAGTTAATTTAGCAACACCTAAACATTATCTAATTTTTAATTTAAACAATCTCTTTATATCTTATAAATCGATTTCTAGTGGTCACTTCACTTAATCAGTTATGTTGATCTAACTTTTATCATCAAATTATCCCTATAACATCATTATTAACATAAAATATACAATCCAAATCATCACATAAGATATTTATTCATTAATTGATTTATATTATTTTAAAAATCAACTAATTATGTCTATTTTACCAATTTAATCATATCCCTCACTCATTAATTATTAAATCTTAAAAATAATGTTTTCATCCCGTTAAGGTGACTCAATTGACAGTCGTGTCAAAACATCAGATGTAGGAGCACAAGTTCAAACCAGCGATATCACACTTATTCACCTTTAAATGGTGAGTTTCAGCTACTAGACTACTTAACCAAAAAATAAAAATAATTTGTTCAGACAATGAAACATTTTTTATCAAAATTGAGTATTATTAACTTTGAAATATATTTATATTAGTACAATTGTCATTTTGCTGATTTTTGAACCAAGCCTTATTTTTCTTATGAATTGCTTGTTGGGTCAGCCAATTTTTATAATTGTTTATGTGATTAATTGACCCGTTTTCGAAGCCTAGAAGAGCTTTTTAGATTTTCTCCATCGGAGTCCCAATGTGGATTTTATCCATATACTTAGTGTTGCTTCAATTCATCTCTGAAACCTAGAAGCAACATATTTGCAATGTGTCTTCACATGAACTTCTTGAACTTTCATCTTCTTCATTATCTCAAGAGCATTAAGGATAGCTTGGCATTCTGCTATAGTTGAGTTATTGAACCCTCTTTGATTCCATGTTGCTTCATATATGATATCATCTTCTTCGTTCTTAAAGGCAGCTCCCATATTACATTCTCCATCTATAGTGAGATTAGCATCCATATTAGTGTTGATGGTGTTTCTTGTTAGGTATTATCCTCTTTGGTGGTATTATCTTCTTGCATGTTAAGATTAAGACTTTGATGAAGACCTTCATCAACCTTTGGATGTTTAGATTTGTGCATGTTGAGGTTCTAATAGTGATCTTCGTTAACCCTGATAACACGAAATTACATTGTATAATCGACTCGACTCGTATGAATTATTTTACCGTTTTTGTTTATTTATGTCATATTATGTCAATATTCCTATTGCATTTCAGGTATATGCTAACAAAGAGCCTCCATGTGTCCATGTGAAGAAAGAAAGAAACTAGGAAGAAACCGAGAAGAAATGAGCAAAAGAACAAGAAAAACAGCTTTTTGGCCCTCACCACACTTCTTGTGGCTCTCGCCATGTATGATTGGGAACTGTGGCCCTCACCACACTTTATTTTTGCAGGCCATGTATTTTGTTTTCGTGGTTTTCTCCACGTAACCAAACGAACTCATTCCCCTGATAGCTCTCCAACAAATAGAGTCTTGCGAATATTTTAGCCATGAAGTCACGAGTTCCTAAATGGTCTCCACGGAATTTACGAGAATTTAGCAGAGAGTTATAAAAGAGAGTTCTTCATAGTTTCAGGAGGGTTCGACCATTTTTTCGTCTTGAAGCAGAGTATTATTATTGTTAGATTTTTAAGCAGAAAACTCACCATTAAAAGTGATAGCCTTCCACATCGGGGGACTATCACAACTATAGTTTTAGGTTTATTTTTCGTATTCATCTTGTATTTCGGAATAGAAAATTTTGCTGGCATCTGTGAGGATTGTAGACTTCAAGTTCTAGTTTATCAATTCCAGCTATTTCATTCACTTTTTATTCACAGGTTTTCAGTTTAGTTTTTATTATCTATGTTTTAGAAATCATGTTTAATTTTATGTTTAACTATTGTTATAGCATGTTTATATTTGGAACTATGTCCGGCTAAATCCCTTGATACCGGTATGCAAAATTAATCGAACGGAAGGGATTCGGAAATCTATTGGTGTAAATATTTACAAACTATTTTTCTGGTTTAGTTTCTAATTCTAATTAAAATAGCTTTGTACGAAAGTAAAAAAACAAACAAAGGTTATAATCAATAAAGCGAGAGTTTGAGATTCTAATCGGATAGTAGAAATTACACATTAATTTTAAATACCGCGAGATCACTTTAAGATTAATTAGATTTTATTGGTTTTCAAAAAGTACTTTTAAATTTCAAATGAGACAGCGAGAGCAAAGCATTTTGGTTTAGGAGTATAGTCAGAGTCAATAACACGAGAGTGTGAGATAAAGGCTTTTAAGTCAGTATTTTCTACTGAGAAATATTTTCACATTTAAAACTACGCCAATAGTTTATCGAATCCCCGAAGTTAGACGAGTTGCATACTGGTGTTCTGTCATTAAATATTTTTATTAAAATTTAAATTTATTTTCCCGTTTGCCTCAAAACCCAAGATTATTCACCGGCCTTAGATTTACATAGTAACATTAGATAGCATTAGTTTGATTATCACTCCATGTGGTTTAATATCTTTTAAAACTACACGATTAGATTGTGCACTTGCAGTCAGAAACCCGATAGACTCTTAAAGTCACGATCAAGTTTTTGGCGTCGTTGTCGGGGACTGATTTGGTCAATATTGTGATTCCACTATTATGCACTATAGACTAAGGCAACAATTTTTTATTACCTTTAGTCTATTGATTGTATGCCAATCACTCGCTCTCAAGGCGAAGAATTAGAGAAGCCAATCAACGAGATCGAGCATTTTGTTATTATAAGACGCTGAATTAGAGAAGACCAAATTAAGTACAATCTTCCCGAATTCAATCTTCCCAACTTTTCCTACCCGAACCTAAACCAAGAATGGCTGAAGGACCCCAAAATCGTCCTCTCAAGGATTATGTTGTCCCATCACAGGAAGAACCTCACAACAGCATTGATGTCCCTTCTATCACCTGAAATGATTTTGAGTTGAAACCTTTGTTGCTACAAGCTGTCCAACAGAGTCATTTTTCAGGAAGTCCTACAGATGACACAAACCTACCTTTATCGGTGTTTGTGCAGTACACAGACACAGTGAAAGCAAATACTGTCAACCCTGAAGCAATAAGACTATGTTTTTTCCCTTTCTCATTAAGAGATAGAGCTAGAGCTTGGCTCCAATCTCTACCATCCAACTCGGTTACCCCATGGGACGAGTTAAAGAAAGTTTTCCTAGCGCGATATTTTCCGCTGAGTAAGACGGCTATGATAAGAGCCAATATCAATGGCTTTAAACAAAAGGAAAGCAAATATCTTTTCGAAGCATGGGAAAGATACAAAGACATGTTATGACTTTGTCCACACCATGGTCTAGAAGAATGGTTGATCATCTATACCTTTTACAATGATCTCTTGTATAACACAAGATTAATAATATATGTTGCAGTTGGCGGTACACTGATGGATAAACCTTACCATGGTGCTTATCAGCTTATCAAAAGTATGGCTCAAAATCATTACCAATGGGGAAGCGATAAAACCATTATGGAGAAACCTCAAACGAAAGGCGGTATGTACGAAGTAAGTAGTTTAGACCAAGTTAACGTTAAGGTAGAATCC